GTGACTCTCCAATGCCGTGCCAAATATGGAGGGGAGGGCAGACATGCAGAGAGCACAGGTGTTCTGCAATCTGCTTTGAGAGAAGCAGGTTAAGAGGATCAGTTTCGTGTCCTGGATAGAGGAATTGCCTCTTTTGATAGACATTAATGAAATAGTTATAGTACATATTTGCCAAAGATACAGGTTGCAGTAAATATTAATAAGAGGTGGATACATGTTCCGGTGAGAGTAGACAGTGTTATGTCCCACAGTTTTGTTAGTGACCATATGTGCCTTTTTTGGAGTTTCTTCACTTTGCCTCCCTGGTAGAGCCATCATTGGCTCCAGTAGAACCTTGACCCATATTTGACCCAAACGAAGACTTAGGCTTGAGATAGGAGATACCAAGTCAATAAAGGGAGCCCTGGTAAAGGAATCATAACTACTGTGGCCACTGCCAAAACCAGAGGTTGGGCTGTAGTGACTCCACTTTGGCACAGGGCCCTCTCCTCAGACTACTCCATCTCATCTTTAAAGTGCTCATGAACTCTCACCAGCTGAATCTTCTTCAGTCTTTCCTGTCCATCAGAGCATCATGACACACAGCTTATTCTAGTATTGTCCCGAAAACAGCTGAATGTCTCCTGGCTGCTCTGGCTAATTTCAAAGGTGCTCTCTTTTTTTCCAATTTGGACTGAGTCTATTTGGACTGAGTATAAAGCAAGGAGAAGAATGTAAAATTATCAAAGCACTTTAAGGTTTGAGACAGCCAAACTGCACAACTCAGGTCAGAATGTACACTAAAGACAGAATCATCTGAATTGTATATCCTACTCTCTGTCACCAGAAGCTTGATTTTGCCTAGTGCTCCGTAGAAATAAGCTTGCTCTTTAGAAAAAGCTTCTTGGGCATTCTCAGGGTATGTGAGGAATTGCTCAGTACTTTGAATGGTTTGTTGAGACTCCATCATCCCTTTGGTGAAAAACTGAAAATTTATTTATACTATATCTAAAGAGAAAAATGAATACCAATTGGTATTCAGTGAAAATACTAAACCTGAATAATATGTCACATTTTTGTCATATTTTTCTTTTCTATAGCTTTTACTGTGAAAATTTCCCACCGCATGCAAAAGTAGAGTATAATAATCCCCAATGGATTCATCACCCAATTCTAATAAGGATCACATTTTGCCTTCTTGCTTCCCATCTCTCTCTTGGTTTGGCTAGGGTGTTTTAAAGTGAATTCTAGACCTTAAATGTCATTTCATCCCCAAATACCTCATTACACATCTCAAAAAAATGACAGTTCATAGTCACATGGCAATATCACACTAACAAAAATAATAATTCTCTAATATTGTATAGTATCCAGCCCATATTAAAATATCTCGAATTGTCTAAAAATGTTTTTTTTTTTTGTTTTTTTTTTTTTTTTTTTACAGTTGGTTTGTTTGAAACAGGTTCGAAACAAGGTACACTCAAATTTGGTTGTATGGCTCTTAAATCTTAAAGAAAAAATTTTTGGTTGTTGCTGTTATGGCTTATAAGTCTTTTAAAAGCTTTTATTATAGTCTTTCCTTTCTCCCCAACCCTCCACTTTCTTTTCACATGACATTGACTTTTTTTTTCAGAGATCAGGTCAGTTTTTCTGAAGAAATGTTCCATATTCTGGATTTGCCTGCTTGTTTCCTCATGGCATCCTTTAGCAGAGATTTCATATGTCAGTGGAGCAGAAATTTAAATTGTTTTTCTTTCTCCTGCATTTCCTGAAGACTAGAAGTAAGATCTAAAGATTTGAATAAATTCAGCTTCTTTTTTTTCATTCTCTGGGGCAAGAATACATCAGAGTTGAATTTTACATTGCATGAAATCAGGAGGCCCACAGTGTCTTCTGTTTTTAGTGAAGCTCAGATTGATCAGTGGGTTCAGGTAATGTCAGTCTAGGCTTTCATTGTAAAGCTCCCATCACTCTCTAGCTATAGTTTGAACCAGGTATTTCATTAAGAGATAGCATATCATCCTTTTCAAAGCACATCGTCATGTAAATTATTTATTTTTACCAGTGATAAGCACCATTTCCCTTAGTGTAGAGAGGAACGACAGAGAAGTCATTTTGGGGGCCACAGCAAATTCAGGGGCCACGCAAAACCAAAATTTAAATTTGCTGATTCCTGACCCCAAATTATTTTCTATGGCGGGAAATATCACAGGCAATAGTGCTTCCTAGTATCTTTTTTTTTTTTAATTAAGTTTATTGGGGTAACATTGGTTAATACAATTATATAATTTTTAGGTGTACATTATAATTTAACATCTAAACATATTCTATTGTGTGTTTACCACCCAAAGTCCAGTTTCCTTCAGCTACCATATATTTGATCCCCTTTACCCACTTTGCCCTCCCTCTACCCCATATTGACCCCCTTTACCCTGTCTACTTCCCACCTCCTCCCCTATCCCCTACCCTCTGGTAACCACTAGTCCATTGTCCGTGTCCCTGAGTCTCTGTTTGTTTGTCCTGTTCATTTGTTGCTTTTAGGTTTATATCCTACACATAAGTGATATCATGTGATTTTCAACTTTTTCTGTCTGGCTTATTTCGCCTAGCATGATTATCTTGAGGTCCATCCATGTTGTCGCAAATAGCAGTAT